CTGTAGTCGAACGGTGAGACGGACGTGTAGTTCAGTTTTGGGCACGCGTACGGTGCTGCAGGGATTATATATAGGTGTAGTAGTACCTCTTCGGGCTCTTGGATACCTTTTTCTTGCTACGTGTGCGTGTTCTTTAGATCCTCAGATGGCTCTAGCACTTTCGTGACCACGGGCTGAGAGTCTTTGCTAGATTTTGGCATTTAGCAACTGGCATACGGTTTAATGTGAAGTCAACAACATACAGAGAGGGGGTCCCTGTTTAGTGCCAGTTTAGTGCCGGTGTTTTCGGCGGGCACATACTAGACCACCGGGGCGACCGATGGTCTATTATATAGTGGGTACCCTCGCAGCCTGGTAAGGGTCATGTCATTGGTTCGAGTTCCGGCAGAATGAGTTTTTTTCTCACTGAATAAATCCTGGTCTAGGATGAAAGCGACGCGCTGCACAGCTCGTTGTTGATAAACCATAATCGACTTCGTATGTCGCGAGGGAAGGGATCACTGTACCCTACTCGAGATAAAAACAACTCAGGCAGGAACCGCAGGAGGGGGTCCAACCCCCCCCTCCTCTGTGAGTGACCCCGGTTGGATCGTCCAACCTGTAGAAGTGGAGGATAGAGACCAGAGGGGCAGACGACAGAGACCAATGATGAAAAAAAAAAAATCAATTCCAAATTATTGTCGTCAGTACCTTGAGTAGTGCCCGTCAGGTAGGTGCCGGTGGATTTTCTAGGCACGAACCGGCACTAAACAGGGACCCCCTCTGTACAGAAATAACAAGGACGGTCGGCCATGACTGAACCTACATGCACACCGCCGTTGTATGGGTTTCGGACAGCGATCAACAGACTCTTGGTAGTGCAACAGTGTACTTCAAAAACTTGTTTAGGCACGCGAAAACAAGCTGGTATTATTATTGTCGAGGGGAAGGGGGGGGGGCGGGCGTGGTATCTCCAATATTACGCATGATTCGAAGTATAGTCTAATATTTCGACTGGTTGGGTTGGCACATACAATGGCACGTACCCCCGCCCCTTCCTTTGGCCGTCGACCTGCCTCCATGTAGTGGGAGGCTACCCCCCCAGGCTGGTGGTGCGGCCGTTCCACTAGTCTAATTATTTATTTTATTTTATTTTATTTGTTTCTGATTATATTTTGTTTTCTTGTATT